GTCTCAAACCACTGTGTCATAAATCTCTCTCATGTTTTTCTTTCAGTGACACTGTATAAAATGAGGTTAAATTATGTATTCAGTTGTATGTATGAAAAGTGCATTTAGGGTGACTGGTAACTCAGCTGGGATGAACTTGTAACTCCACTAAGGTAGAAAACATTACAGAGCATAGCTCCAAAGACCTTGGGGAAATAAAGGAAGAAACTGTCCTTTTGTGATGTTGAGAGTTAACTCTTAGGAAACTCTTCAGTGTTACAGCGATGGTGCTGTCATAAATGCCTGAATATAGAAAAAGGCAGCAGGAACTAATTCCTTCCGATCTATGCACTTTTGTTTCTTTTAAATTTCTCTTGATAATGACTGCATATTCTTTAGGGAAGTGGAAAATCTCCTCAGTGTGGCTGCAGGTCAAGGGCTCCAAGAGGCTCAGGAACTTTTAGAGCTCATCATCAGGAACAGAAATCTTCCTTGATGGACTTCCAAACAGATGGAAACACTCACGCCTTTCTAGCCTTTTTACTTGGGTATTGCAGGATAGCTTTTCTTCTTTGATCCATGTCTTGTTGTGCAGCTTTGGAAACCTTAGATGGCACACTGCCTTTGTCTTGCATTGGATGACTGTGAATGGCATTTTGTATTGCATGAGGCAGGAAAAGAGACCACTATATCTGGTCCTCTTCCTTTACCAATATAGGACTTTGTCTAGAATCCAACGTGATCATCACTCATCACAGGTTTGCTCAGTCAAGCTATTACTCAATTTTATATCAGTACAAAGATGGGAGATGGGGAAAGATAGTGGAAGAGACCATCACCATATAAATAGCTTTTCTTTTTTTTTGTAGCCCACTACTTTTATACAGTGCTGGGGGCTGGATAGGGAGAAAGGTCTAGAGGAGAAAATCAACAATGGACATACAAATGCCAATATTAGTCTACTGCATTGTAATGAGAAAGCATACTATCTGTGTTGACTGAAAAATCACTTTTAAGTAGTGACTACAGGAAGCAGCATGTTGATCTACTGATATTATATCTATCTATTGGTTTAGGGTTTGAAACAGTTGGTTATTAGATGTGTTTTGTTGTGTATTTTTATGTATTGTAAATTGGTAATAGCTTAAGCTAAATAGTAATAAGCAAATATGCATATTTTGCCATGAAGTGTATAATGAAATAATAATGGTTTAATAAAAATAGTATAGCAACTTCATTCGGTAGCCATTATTGCTTTTATCTCTTTGCCAGGCAACTGGCAGGGGAAAGTAATTAAAATTAACAGAAGCAGACTTCACTTTCAAGGTGTCTTCAGTTTAATGCAACAAGAGGGGTAATTGCTTGTAATAGAAAGAACATGCAGTTTCTAAAGAACGATAGAGGAGAGGGTATTGTGCTATCAAACTCCCCGCCCCACCCCCCATCGGATATGCCAGTCTGTGCTGTGGTTTTTTTTTTTTTTGACCATCACTGTTCAGGTTGTTGCACAATAAGAAGTGCCTGCTTTTTTAAGCGTATGGTGACTATAGTCAAGCCTGAGGGCTAAGGAAAGAGAAGTGAAAGAAAACAAGAAAACAAGAGTAGATTCAGTCTCTGACAGCTGCTTTTCTACAGTGACCTTGTAATGAAAGATGGAAAGGATTCTAGCCAATGAGCTCAATCCTTCATGTTCCTTGGTTTAGTCCTGAGCCGAAGGAAGATGTTTTGCCTTTAAGAATAAGGAAGTTGAAGGCATGAGTACTGCAGCATCCATGTTTCTATATATAAAACTACCCTTGTCATGTTTATGACCAAAATCAGCCTCCCCCCCCCCCAAAAAAAAACCCACTCACTTGGCAGTGCCAACTTCTGCAAACACATAGTCCCAGTGGGGAGCAGAGCAATTGTAAAACGGCCTCACTACCGAGTAAGGTCAGATCTGTCCTGATTATAATGGTTTTCTTAGGTTAAATATCCCCTGCAGTGTTACAACTGATGGTTAATGTAAGCAATTCTTTTTCCTCTTCCCCCACTACATCTGGGATCAGATTTTTCTCTACTTTGCACTGTGTAGTCATGTACATTTGTACATGAGGGGGTGAGAAATGCAGCCAGATCAAAGAGAGGGATCAGATACTCCTGCCCACTGAAATAGTCAGAGGCACCCAGGAGAAAATCCCCTTTTTGCAAGAAAGGGAATTCTCTACTAGTCTGAAGGCGAAGGAAGTAGCATCCCTGCCTCCTATGCCTTTTCCTGCTATAAGAGACGAAGGGGGCAAGATATGGAGGTGGCAAGAACGATTGTTTGTCAGCTATGCAGCCTTAACTTGTGGTAGGTGGCACATTGGAGCATTTGATTGAGGGTGGGTAGGCAGGGAAACACTTATTTGAAATGCATCATTTTAGTTTGATTTAGAATTATCTATTTCCCTGCCCCATTTCCCTCTCGTATCTTTCTCCCAACATTCTTTTTTTATTAAGTCTAGAAAACAAAGGACATTACAGTCTCTGTCACTACCTGCAGCACGTCAGAGACCCTGAGGCTCTTTTTTCTTCCCCTTCACATCAACTTAAAAAGGAAAAGAAACGGTGGAAGCAAAATAATGTTCTTATTTCCATTGCATATAACAACTACCAACCATAGGCTTGAGCCTTCGAAGATGAGGGAAATCTTATTGATGTTAGTGGGTTTCGTGTCGTGCCCCAGGTCAACTGATAGTACACCATCAGCCTGCAACTGCTTTAACTCCAGCACTGCAGTCCTTTCCCTTTTATTTGAAAACTAGATCTGTGCTATATACAAACAGCATGTTGTCAAACAGTGACCTACCAATAAAGTACAATAAACACCATCTTTTCCAGTCCTGCAGTGTTCCCTAGGAGACTGTTCTTTTTCTCTAGCTGTGAGCGTAAAAAGCAGAACCCCAGCAAGTGATATGAAAAGACAGGAATGGTTCAGGGTCAGGAATTGTATTTATCCTCTATGCTACCCTGATTTATAGATGTCAGAGCAAAAGTAAAACTGCCTCAATTTTGGTGAGGTCAGATCTGTCCTGATTTTAATGGTTTTCTTAGGTTAAATGTCTCTTGCAGTGTTACAATGGATGCTTAATGGAAAAATCTATCATAGCTGCGACACTCCTCTGAGGTCCCCTCTCATGCTGTGAGACTTCCTTGTGCTATAATAGCTAATATGAAGCTGCAAAAAAAGAGTAAAAATGTCATTTCAGCTAAGACTGTAAGATAAGGTAGTGAAGCTACATAAAAAGCTGCTTCTTGCATTGAGTGTGTCTATGTGGAGGTGAAATATCTCATTTGCCCCATATTTGTTTACAAAGTGATAGAATGGTCTTGGGACCAGACAGCGGATGAAGCAGTTTTTTATTAACTGTTATTTTCAAATTGTTGGTTGTAAATGTTCAGTTGGAGAAGTGTTCTTTCAGCAGCACTTTCAGAAGCAAAAAATCAGTAACAAATGAGATTATTCTTAAAGGTGAATCTGTCCCAGAGGCTAAGTCTCAGGGGACTCTTTTGTAATGGCAGTGCCTGGTTAACTGGCTCCCAACTGTGACTTTCTGGGGTTGGAGCAGTGAGGGGGTTGAAAAAGATGAAAGGGAAAAGAGAAAACTGGACAGTTCATGCATGGAGAGTAGCCACACTGAAAGGCAAAGCAGAATAATGATGAGAGGGCACAACAGAATGGAAGAAAAACGGCTTCCACGTCCTAAAAGCAGCCCCTCCTTCAGATCTCATCCATCCAGTTTGTAAGGGTTAATCAAGGCAGATGTTTATCCAGGGTTCACAGTCTTGCAGCGTAGGAAATTCTCTGGAAAGCTAAAACTGCATTGGCCCAGAGGGGGTGGCAAAGGTTATTTCAAGTGTATAAGGACATGACACGCTTTCATGTCCCCTCCGCTGCTTCAGAGGGGGAATTCCTTTACATGATATAATAACCCATAATATTGTATAACTTGTGATGAATTCATCCTTCTTCCGTGAAGAATACTGTCTCTACCTGAATTCTCTTTGGAAAGGAGACTAATACTTGTAATTACAATATGCATTTGAAGTGCATTCCTACAGTGAAGCCTATAGCCAGGCACTTGTAGAGCCAGAAATTCCATTCAAGTATGTCCCTGTATTCCTGAGAACAGCATTCAACACAAATGCATATTCCAGCCACAATACCCAGTTAACGCAGAAAGAATCATTTGAATCAATGGTCCAAGCAGGAAATATGAACTCCATTTTATCAAACCTTAATTTGGAATAGCCTTTTTCCTTTCTTGGCATGAAATATATGAGTCAAACCACTCCCTAACTGTGATAGAAATGTAGCTGTGTTAGTCTGGGGTAGCTGAAGCAAAATGCAGGACAATGTAGCACTTTAAAGACTAACAAGATGGTTTATTAGATGATGAGCTTTCGTGGGCCAGACCCACTTCCTCAGATCAAATAGTGGAAGAAAATAGTCACAACCATATATACCAAAGGATACAGTTAAAAAAAATGAACACATATGAAAAGGACAAATCACATTTCAGAACAGGAGGGGGATGCGGGGGGAGGAAGGAAGGTAAGTGTCTGTGAATTGATGATATTAGAGGTGGGGAGAGTGGGACGTCTGTGAGCTAATGGTATTAGAGGTGATAATTGGGGAAGCTATCTTGGTAATGGGTAAGATAGTTTGAGTATTTGTTCATTCCTTCCCGGAGAGTGTCGAATTTTAACATGGTTACCAAGATAGCTTCCCCAATTATCACCTCTAATACCATTAGCTCACAGACTTCCCACTCTCCCCACCTCTAATATCATCAATTCACAGACACTTACCTTCCTTCCTCCCCCTCCCCCCCGCATCCGCCTCCTGTTCTGAAATGTGATTTGTCCTTTTCACATGTGTTCATTTTTTTTAATTGTATCCTTTGGTATATATGGTTGTGACTATTTTCTTCCACTCTTTGATCTGAGGAAGTGGGTCTGGCCCACGAAAGCTCATCATCTAATAAACCCTCTTGTTAGTCTTTAAAGTGCTACATTGTCCCGCATTTTGCTTCAACCACTCCCTAACTGCTGCTTCATAGCACTTCTAAGGCCACTTCTCCACTAGATTATTCCACTAAAATTTCCCCACCATTGGGGCTCCAGCAGTGACAATAAAGGGCCAAGTCTTCACATCTTGTCATCTAGCCCTACTCAGAACAGCTCTAGCCAATATAGTACAGATTGAACCTCCTAAATCCAGGACACTCTGGTCCAGGAACATCTGTGGTCTGGCAGGATCATGGATATTGCTGGACCAGAATGCTCCAGCCCTTGGGAGTGCGAGCTGGTTGGGAGTCCAGTGTCAGGGGGCTCCACCATCAGGACTAGTGAGCCCTGTCCCCAGAGAGCCCTGGCTAGGCACAGCATCAGCAGGACCAGCAATCCCTATCCCCGCAGAGCCCCAACTGGGTGTGGCAACAGTGGGACAGCCAGCAGCCGGTGACCCTTGTCCCCATGAAGCCCAGGCTAGGCTGGGCCACTGTGGCTGGGGGGCTTCATCCCTGAAGAGCCCCCACTGGTTGGCAGCAGCAGGCCAGAGCCAAACCCAATCCCTGTCACAGCAGGGCTGGGGCACAGTGGTACTGGGGATAGAGTGGAGCCAGCTGGAAGGGGGGCAGTGTCTGGGAGGCCAGTAGCAGGGGACCTCCCCATATCCGGCAAATTCCCTCATTTGAGATGGGTCAGGTGCTGAGGGTGCCAGGCCTGGGAGGTCCAACCTGTAGTTAAAACCGGACATCACCAGCTACAGAAGCACTCCTACTAGTGAAGCTATAGGAACCACAACTGGCAAATTTTACAAACCAACCAACCAAGTCCATACTAGAACGGTCTGCTGGGCATCTCCTTCTGAGTATATAAATCAAGAGCAGGTTTACTTACTTCTGAACTGTGAAATTAATCAACAATGAAAGACTATCATGCCGGGGCTGAAATACAGAAAGATAATATTGCAGGATTGTAGTGGTATTATGGACTCTGCTTTGCCCAGCATAACAATACCAGGCTATTATGATGTCACAAGTGAAATAACTAACATGATATCTGATAAAGAATGATTGGGATATAACAGGTGAGCTGCATGACTGATGAGCGATCATATTCCAACTGACAGCAGGAAGTAAATTTCTAATCTTCTGCTCAAACAATAAAAGGAATAGGCACAGCTGCATAGCATTTAAAGGAGCATGGTGACCATGGAAACACCAGCCTCACTTGTGCAGCGAATCACTGTTGCAGAAACAAATTCAAAGAGCCACAGGAATGGTCTAACAATCATTCTCTATCAATATCTGGTGTGATAAATATTAGCCCTGGAAGGAAGCAAGTTACCAAGTCTTCATCACGAGACAAATAGCAGCCCAAAGCCTCATTTCCTACTGGCACCGCACATGTCCTGCAAGGCAGCTCCTGGCTCCAGGACATCTTCCTGGGCAGATAGAACAGAATCCACTCAGCCATCCATCCTCAAAGCACACACCAGGAAGGGTTCCATCAACTACTGACGACTTAGTGTCACATTCCATTCTGGGAAAAGAGGGTTATAGCCAAGAAAATCTCCTTCGCAGTCCGTATCAAGACCTCTTTTTAATTAGAATTGATCTCTGCAGGCATAGTTAAAGTCTCAGCCTTTCTCTCCCTCCTGAGAGAGTGCCCCAGGACTCCAGGTGGCCTAAAGGCTGCTCTTGCCAATGGGAGTGATTGGTTTGTTTATCTATGGTCTCAGAGTTGACTGTGTTTGTAATGTTTCTTGTATTGCTGACTGCCACCTAGTGGAATTCATGTGGACAGACATTACTCCCTGTTCCTCTACCAGAGAGTGCAGGGAGAGGCAGAGAAGTGGGATGGTTGAATGATTTGAGTACAAGTATAGGCTGGTGGATACAGTCACCAGCCTGGGACAGAAGCAGCAAGAAACAGGCCTATTCTCATTAAAGTTGGGGGGCCACCTGGTAGCTCAATGACCAGGACCATCTCCAACCATGAAGTCCTACAGAACCTGCTCACCTTCTGCTGCTGTGACAGTGGAGCATTATTTTGCCCTTTCCTCCGTCATATCCCCTACCCAAAAATCATCTCACCCAATCACTGGATGCCATCCAGATGGATCTTATGATGCCCACCACTTACCTGTTGGGATGCTCTCCTTAACAGAGCCGGCTGGTGCCCTGGTTCTTAAAAGGGCAGACTTCTCTGTTGCTAAAGGTATGAGAGTCAGCCAGGGCTCAGATTCAGCTAGTACACACAGATACAGCATGCCAAGACCTCTCATTCGTCATAATTTAAGCTTTCATTTTAAATGAATGAAGTCGCTAGCTGTTATCACTGCTAAAAGAGCCTAAAAAATAGGAACGAAGCAGATCTGATGAAGTGATGTCTATTTGCATTAGCAAAATGCAGAACAATAACTCAGGCGTGGACTGCCCCATCATCTCACTGCACACTGACTTGATGTTCGGTGACAAGACTGATGGCATTAGCCATCGCATGTTTCATCAATGCCTGGGAAGAAGGGGAGGAAGAATTGTGTCCTACTCAGAAGGACAGCTCATTTTGGCCCCATGAGGAGTGGGTTTGGGAAAATATTTCTATTTTTCCCATCACCCACCTGAGAAGCTAGGCCCAAAGAACTTGGAGGAGAGTCCCACAGAGGAATCAAATTCAAGATCTACAGAAGGACAGAAATCATAAGAGCCTCATCAAAGGGGAACCAAGAGCTTAACAGTCCTCCTCTCTCCACTGCACACATGCTTTTCTATCAATGTAAAGCGAGTCACTTGATTTTTTTTGATGATACACCCAAAGATTCTCACCAACCCTTCCCCAAATCCTCAGTGATGATGAATGGGAGTCTTGTATGTTTTGTTAAGGAGAAATGAAGAATTGCTTTGTGATCCCTGTTCCAAAATGCCAGCACTGTCCGTGCTAAGGAAATTAAATATGAGCAATGGGCTCAGAAGGGTTGAACCCTACATTAATTATGCACAGGCCGATTCTGAAACAGGCATCTGGGTACCACATGTTTGATAATCTCACAGCCTTCATATATGAGTTTAGTTCTTAAACTGGTAAGGCTGATGCATATAAAGTTGTAGTGCTGACAGGAGGAGGTTATACAAGTGCTCGAGGAAACAATACACATGAGAAGCAATAAAGCCATTTATGTTTACTATAATAATCTTTCCCCACTATTAACTTTGAGGATTATGTTGATAGTCTCTCTTTCTGATGGACAGAAGATATTACATGTATAATCACCACTATCAGCAAAGTGCACTGGACAAAACCAGGGCTGAATTCCCTTTCTTCAGCTCTTTTATGGTCAAACTTATTCTGTATTCAGAGGTTTTTATTTCCTCATCATATTCAGCCACAAGCCTGTGTCTGGTGCCTCTGTCCAACCACCAGCTGACTGTGATCCACTGGTGAAAAAGCCACAGGAGGAGTCATTCTAGCAACATGGCAGCTGGGAGAGCAATAACTTGAGGGACAAGGAGCTAGGTAAATGGAAAGGGACTAGAAATTGAAGCATAACACTTCACTATCAGAATATCACAGAGCTGGATTTGACAACCACAAACACACTGGACACTTGTACATTTGCAAGCACCTCTGTGTATTAATTGAGTTCCCTCTACCAGTTCAGCTTTATAATTGGAAGTAACATGGGTCAACATGTAATTGGAAATAAATTCCCCTTTAGTATATTCTCCAGAGAAGGAAAGGTACTCTCATCTTGAGATCCTGTCTCTCATGGCCCCCGCCAGCCTTCTCCCTTGCATGTCTTTCCTGTCCTTTAACTGTTCTCAGCTGATGGATTTATTGCTCTCATTAACTCACAACCCCAGAGCCTAATTGAGCTACTGAGCCCCCATCACTTATACAGGCAGTCCCCGGGTTACGTACAAGATAGGGACTGTAGGTTTGTTCTTAAGTTGAATCTGTATGTAAGTCGGAACTGGCGTCCAGATTCAGCTGCTGCTGTAAATGATCAGTTTCAACAGCGGCTGAATCTGGACGCCAGTTCTGACTTACATACAGATTCAACTTAAGAA